AAATGCAAATGGCCAACAGGCATATGAAAAAATGTTCAACATCACTTGTAATCAGGGAAATGCAAATCAAAACTATCATGAGATACCATCCCACACCTGTGTGAATGGCACAAATTAAAAAAACTAGCAACAACAAATGTTGGCGAGGATGTGGAGAAAAGGAACTCTCCTACATTGCTGGTGGGAGTGCAAACTGGTCCAACCACTATGGAGAACTGTGTGGGGTTTCCTCAATCTATTAAAAATGGAGCTACCATATGACTGAGCAATTCCACTCCTAGGGTCTACCCAAAGGACACAAAAACATTGATTCAAAAGAACACCTGTACTCCTATGTTTATTGTAGCACTATTTACAAAAGGTAAAACCTGGAAACAACTCAAATGCCCAGAACTAGATGACTGGTTCAAGAAGATGTGATATATATACACAATGGAATATTATTCAGCAATCAAAAAAGATAAACTCACACCATTCACAGCAACATGGATGGAGCTAGAAGGAATTATGCTCAGTGAAAAAAGCCAGAAGGGAAAAAAAAATATTGGATGGTTTCACTTATAGCAGGAATATAGGGGAACCAAGTAAGACTCAGTGTAAAAAAATAATAGCCTTATAAAACACAACAAAGCAAAAACAGACAATTATAAATTAGAGACATCCTGCAGGGGAAGAGGAGGGAGAGGGATGAGAGGGAGGGAGGGAGGAGCACAGGGGACTGAGGTGATGGTGCATGGGTGCCTTGTGGAAGGAAAGTCCATGGGGACTTAATCTGAGGGGCTGGGGGGAAACAAATATTGTTTAAAAAAGAACAACAATGTAAAAAAAATTTAAGAAAAGTTAAAAAAGTTAAAAAAAATTAAAAAAGGTTAAAAGCAAAAATAAACCCATGGTAGCTTTCAGAAGAATTATCTTTTTTTATAGGATATAACTCCATATACAGAAAACAACATATTGATTGAAGTTCAGCTGATTTTTTTACTCTTAACACCACGGAAAATGTCTAATATTTATATTACTTACAGGAAATAAAGATTAAATATTTCTTAGTGTGACATTGAAAATATTTCCCATATTGCCCTTTAAGGGGAAGATCCTGGTAGCCTAGAGATTCTTTCTTTGTGGGGTAGGGAATGTGTGCGGGTGTTTGTTTTTCATAACTGGGGGATGGGGGGTGGATGGGGAGGAGATTTAGAAGCCTATCTGGTGGCTGCAAAGAAAGCAAATAATGAGCTAGAAAAGATGTAGGAGAATAGGGAAGATGAACCCCCAGTTTTGAAGTAGCCTGGGAGAACTAGGAGAGCAAACATATTTGGTGGAGATTTGATGAATGTTCACTATGCACCTATAGAATCTTATGTAAATTATGGATTATTTAAAAACATTTTTGATGTAAGCAGGTTATTATGGAGTGAATGCAGAGAGGTTCAGCACTCTACTTGTGAGCACTGGCCTCTGAGTTAATTTACTTGAAATCTGGGTCACACTGGACTGTAAGGTTTGATGAGGGAAAATTTTTATAACTAAAAAAGCACTGATTGTATTACGGTTTGTCTAGCTTTGACCTAAATTCGTGGGTGAAACTTTAAGGATCATTGCATAGTCCCAAAGCAGTTCCCCAAATATTTGTTAATTACTTTAGTGGTTTTTAACATATTTTCTAACCTTCTTTCATATTCTGCCACTGGGAGGTAAATCTTAATTCTTTTCTCTTTGAATATGGGCTGGGCTTCGTGACTCTCTTCTAAAAAGTACAGTATGGAAAGTACAGTATGGCAGGGGAGATTGGCAGATAACATCTTACCTTCATGAAGTAATAAGGATTAACATCAGACATGAGTTATGTTGATGTCATGTTCTTTAGGTGAAGGGTTTATAGGAACTCTCATTAGCTATACTTACAACTATTTTTTTTAAGATTTATTTATGCATACAAGAGCTGGGGTACAGGCCAGAGGTGTGGGGGGGTGAGTGGATTCACCAGAGACAGACTAGGGAACAGAACAGGCAGACTGACTGAAATACACTGCTGAGGGGAGCAGCAGGCAAGACAGGAGAGGTCTGCTGCACCATGTGGTTAGCTTCCTGGCTGGCCAGGGATTGAACTCATGCTGCAGAGGCTGAGGATAGCTTCACAGTGCTGTGCTTAACCCCTTGTGCTGTCAGGGAGGTCCTATACTTTCAACTATTTTATAAACTTAGCTATTTCAAAAAATATTTAAAATAAACTTATTCAGGAGATTTTTTTTCCAAAGAAAGGCTAAAATGATTAATTATGAGAATATTATTAGCTCTTTGAATTACACCCAAATATAAATATTTATTTTCCAGCATCACTATACCATGATAATTGTTTTTCCAGAAGGACAGCCAACTTGGTGTTTGAGAACTTATGAAGATTAAGAAAGGTGGGAGGAATCTAGAGAAACATATGTATATGATGAACACAGTTGGCCAATTGCAAAGTGAAATTGTTATTCAGAATATAAAGAGATATTTATTCATTTATTCAATAACATGTATTTACTCCCTGTGCCAACTATTGTGTTAGAAATAAAATGTGTTTATGACAGATGAGTTCCCTGGCTTTCTGAAGCTTACACTGTAATGACACCCAAGCTTTTGTATTATTACTCTTTGGAAATATATGCCTCTGAAAGTGCAAGGATTGTTTTGAATGTCTATCTAAGTAAAAATAGGCATTAAATGAATTAAACACTTGTATTCATTTAATCAAAACAAAGTATGCATTTGGGAATGGTAATATATATTTCCTGTTTTTTTTTTGATGTAAAATATTATAGAATTTGTAAAATGTAATTTTGTAAATCATGTTAGAGGAACAGAAGTATATTAATTCCAGTTAGCAAATGGAAAAATGTTTTCACTGGAAAATTTTTGAGTTTAAATTCTTAAGTAAGTAAAACCCTTGGAGTTGCAAGATGAGGGTAAGTCAAACTTTAGAAAATTAGCAGATAATTTCTCCTGTTTCTCTTACCTTTCTAAGAAGAGGTGGAAGGAATCTGGAACATTAAGAGATGAGCAAAGTGATATAGGAAACTTAGTTTGGTAAAACTTATCAACTGCTCAAGGAAGTCTTCCTTATAATCTCCCCTCTCTGGAAAAGTCCAGGCAGATTTTTAGTTCAGTGAGCAAATATTGAAAAGAGAACAAATTAAGTTTAATTCATAAAAAATTGTGGCTGCATCAAGCTATAAAATAGCTTCAAGTTTTATAAAGTGAATAGATTAAAAATGTAGCAACAACTTTATATCTTTTTTCTTTATATATTCTCTTATGTACACACACACACACACACACACACACACACACTCACTGTAGGGAAAGACTGAGGAAGGGTGAAAAGAATAAAGTTACCAGCATTAGTTTTTTAGTTTCTAAGATAACTTTGTTTAGGAAAATTTTATAAATACATCTGGTATCGAGACTAAATAGATTATGCAAATTCTACTTTCCCTGAAAAATAAATCAGACATCTCAAAATCATTTCATAACTACCTGAAAATCATTATATTTTTAATACTTTATCACTGTGACCAAGTCAGTAATAGTAGTTGCCTTTTATCTTATAGTGTGTTGCAAGTGTCAAATAATTTAGTCTTCATATAGACTCTGAAGGTTGATAATAATATGTCAACAGGCAGAGGTAGTATCACTGGTTAAGAGGCAGATAGCCTGAGTCTTTCTTCTTTCTGCCATTACAAGTGACCTTGGGCAAGTTATTCAACTCTGGTGTCCCATATTTTTCCCCTTGAACAAAGTGGGCTTAATACTAACTCATAATTATCACAAAGTTTAAATTTATATATTCAGTATATTTAAAGTATTTAACATATGTAGGAGGAAGAATGCCTAGATATAATAAACACTACAAAATGTTGTTAAACTCAAAAGCTGTTTTTCATTTGAATATATCTCTGCTTTTTTATGCAATTGCTATTTTACTGGTAAGAGTAAGAGCCATGGCAGAGGGAACTGTAATCTTATAGACAGGAGGCCAAGTGTATTTTATAGCATAGTGCCTGGCACTACTAAATGCATTTAGGAGATGCTTGTTGGGTGTGTAAATTAATGAAATTGTATATGACTGATTGTACTTGCATCAAAACAATTTTTAGCATGTTTTGCCTTTTGTCTAATAATCAGTTTTCATTTGAGCAACATAGATCTTTTTTGGAAAAGACTTCTGGCAATTTGGCTTTTTCCAATTTGTTTAGCTTCTGCACATCTTGCTAAGTTAAATGCTAAAATTGTCAAAAATTTTTCAAACAAATGGAATGCCTGTTAAGATGTTTTGAAAGACTGGTCCAAGTATAATTTTTTTTTTTTTTACTTAAGTTTAATTTTGTTTTAACATAGAAACAAACCAAAACAAATACTTCTGTGGTTAACTTTTGAAATTGTGTTTTCTAACAGTTCTTTTTTCCATTTTATTAAAGAGAATAAAATATAGATACAAATGCAAAATATAGTTTGTGAAATATGGTTTGAAGATCCAGTTATATGTTGTGATAAAAATGTCATTTATGTAAGAGGGATGTGGGCCCAGTATGTTTCTACCTTGATGAGAATACTTTTTTTAGAATTTGAAAACCCAGTGAGCTAGTATTAGATATTATGTTTAAATAGTTGGATAGAACTTTTCAATTCTGTTATTTCAATAGGCAATAAGTGTTGTTTCCAAGAAAACTGTTAGCTGTCTAGGCTCTCAAAAAGTGTAACAAAATTCCCAAAGATGAGGAAAAATAAAACTAAGTAGAAATTAATTGTGAAGATTAGAAAATGGTTTATATTCGATATCCACTGATGTTTCTAAGGACTTCAATGAATGAGCAATGTTATAGTTCATTTGTAGATGTCATACAGTCACCAACATCTCAACCTTTTTTTTTTTTTCATAAATCTTAGAAATGTCTTTTAGTTCTAAATATATATATATATTTGGAATAATAAATATTTTCCCACCTCTTTCATTCTAGGCACTGAAGAAACAAGAAGCTAAAGCAGATGAGAATGAGGGAGTAATGAAAAATAAGCTAAGACAAACTGAAACTGAGAAGAATCAAGTAAGAAAATTATCTTTCAAAGATTAATGTTGTTTGGGGCCAGTGATATTGGTTGAGTTCTTTGAAAAGTTTCCTAAGATCATTTGTTAGGACACAGTGAAGCCTTTGTGTTTTCAGGTGGAGACACTTGGTTCAATGGCTCTGCCATTGTCTGCTTCTTGCTCTTGGGAGCGTTGGAAGAGCTGCCTTGTCATCAGGCCACACTCCTTTTCTAGAGGCGAAATAAACTTTACTGTTCCTTGCTGGAGAACCTTTAAACAGCTTGACTTTGCTGCAGGGTTAGAAAAGCCATGTTGTTTAATGGCTGAATATTTGGATACATGCCTTTTTATTATAAAAGATAGGCATAGTTAGCAGCCTGGTTATGAAAAGTCCCTTATCTCAATAAATATTAAGGACTTTTGATATCTATTTGCATCTATGAACTTGTGGAGTTTATTACTTTAGAGTCAGGAAGGAATTCAGAGACCAAACAATTCTTAGCTCTCACAGGAATAGATTTAAGCAAGAACCCGAGGTAATGAATGGTAATAAAGGGAAAATTTACTGTGATGAATTTTTTGTTTTTGTTTCTTTTTCTATTTCCCATTACTTCCTTTATGCCAAGTTATGTGATGCTTTCGTGCCACTTTTATGGTAAGCAAGGTTTCATAGGTAAGCAAGGTTTCCATTTGCCCTTTGGGAGCTGAAACTGCTCATCAGACCCAGGGAACAAAATGGGCCTTGGTAGATTATGAAACCATATTGATGGAAGTGTGATTTCTTTGCTCTCTATTTCTACATAGAAACAAGGCAAGAGGTCAGATATTTTGTGTGGCTTCTGTGATTCTATATGTACGTGCCTTTTTTTAATATGACATTAATTTGTGATCTGCACCATGCAGTTTTACAAGATTGACTGCATTAAGAAATTTATTTTGAAATGGTTATAGATTCATATGATACTGCAAAGCAAAATGTAGCAAGCTCATCCCATGTGCTCTGTACTCGATTTCCTTCCATGGTAACATTTTGCATAATTCCACCTAATATCAAAACCAGGAAATTGACACTATTACAATCCAGAGTTTATAAAGATTTCACCAGTTTTGTGTACACTTGTGTGTTGTGTGTCTGTATGTGTCGCCTTGTGGGGCAACAGTGTTGGGAGGTGTGCGGGATGAAGAGAAGAATCCACCTAAAAAAGTGCAGCCCCAATCAATGGGTGTCTCATATTTATTAAGAACCAGGCTCACAAATGATAGGCATGTGCATGCATGAGGGTACATTATTGGGGGGTGCGTTATCATCTCGTAGAAGCTAGGGGCTGTTTCTTGGGGGGCTCCATAGTTTCTACTAATCAAAGCATACTATCTCTAATCCCTATTTTTACCTAACTTTCTGCTAATCTTTACAAGTAAGGTATTCTAGCTGATCTTGTTAATCTGGCCATAATATCTGCCTGCTGTTTTCAGCTGATACTGGTTTCCCAGTGTGTTCCTCATACCAGGACTTTTGCCCTGGTGAGAGGTCCCCTGCCTGAATCTACATTTTAGCTTCACCACCAGGTACTCTGGGCACTGAGACAATAGCCCTAACAACACAGAGGGCTGGAGATTCCACATGTATGTATGTATAGTTACAATTTTATCTCATTCTAGAATTATGATATAAACTGTTCCAACTATCACCATAATGTTCCCTTCTCTACTCCTTGATAGTCATACCTACTAAATGTACATTTTGTAGAGGACTAATATATAGTCTCTTTATTTTATTTTTTTTAAAGATTTATTCATTTATACATACAAGAATTGGGTCACAGGCCAGAGTTGTGGGGGGCGAGAGGACTCACTAGAGACAGAGTGGGGAACAGAACAGGCAGATCAATTGAAAATACACTGCTGAGGGGAGCAGTGGGTAAGTCAGGAGAGGTCTGCTGTGCCATGTGGGTAGCTCCCTGGCCAGGGATTGAACTCATGCTCTAGTGGCTGCGGCAAGCTTCATAGCCTGCATGTCAATGCCTTGCACCACCAGGGAAGCCCTACAGTTTCTTTAAATGAAGTGATAATTTAGGATAACTACTACAAATCTAAGCTTTTAACAACATCTTGATTTAAATTTGTGATTTCACAATCTTACTCTTAACAAAATATAAACATGTTTAGGATATATAATTCTAGATTTTAACAAACTTCCATCCTGGTATACTTTTAAACTTGAAATAATTTAGGCATACTCAGACTTCGTAGGGTATTTAGTCACATAACTGGTACATTTTCTGTGGATTTTAACAGCATTATCATTAAATAAATTCTTAATGTTTTCTTCTGAGCTCAGATATTTAAAAATTTAGTAATATCATTGATACTAGAAATAGGGGGCCTACCCAGTGGCACAACAGGTTGAGCGCTGTGCTGTGAAGCTGTCTGCAGCCTCTGCAGCGCTGGTTCGATTCCCGACCTGCCAGGGAGATAACCACATGGTGCGGTAGACCTCTCCTGACTCGCCCGCTGCTCCCCTCATCAGTGTCTTCAGTCCATTTGCCTGTTCTGTTCCCCGCTCTGTCTCTGGTGAATTCTCTCACCTTCCCATGCCTCTGATCTGTATCCCAGTTCTTGTATAAATAAAAATAAATCTTAAAAAAAAAAGAAATAGGGACATAAGAATATTACAATATATGAAATCAACTGAGTGAAGTATACTTTGTGTCATAAAGTCTTTGACATTTTTATTGTAATTCAATTCATATCATATTGTATGTACTAATTTAAAGAAAAAATACCTTAGACTTTAGAGTAAAATAATTCAGAACTGGAAGAAATTTAAGATCATCTAATATACAATCCTTATTTTAGGGACAATAGAATAGAGGTCTAAGATGAAGAGATTTAAACAGGGTCACAGTTGAGTTGGAAGTGACTAGAAGTCAGTCCTCTTGAGGTCTGGTTCACTTCATGTTATACAATTAACATTTTAATGGAAATACTAATAGCTGTTTATGGCAGGTATTTGTTTTTTTAACTAAGTTTTCTGAAGCTTTCCACTTTTCTTCAGTTAAATTGTGCCCATAATAATTTACTTATCTTCTGCTCCATTAGACATTTTGCTTTGTCCTTTGTTGAAACTCTAGCTTGCACAAGAATTGGAACATTCTCGAAGGTTATTGAATCAGTCAGAAGGCAGCAGAGAAACACTTTTGCATCAGGTAAGTTTATGTGAGCTATGATAATTTACTTTTAAATTAATTAGGGTTGAATCCCCTACTCTATAAATGTCTTGTGGAAGGAAAATTCCTAGGTCTAGAAAATTTTTCTTAAGGAATGTATATTAGCATACATAAGCAGAATGGAAATCCATTCAGGAAGATTCAGAGAATGTTAGTACATAAAACAGCAGCCCAAATTCCTGCTGTGACAGTATCTTGCATTGCTGCTGTTAACATAAGCAGTGTAAAAGTGAGACTGGATATGTAAAATAAAGTTTTCCTAGTAACTTAATTTTATTTAAGGAAGCATGGGACAGCAAAGGAGGAAAAATACATAAAACACCTTTGCATATTCAAGTTACTTTGAATGCATCACAATCTTATATTCATGTTTTCAGGATGCTCATTGTCCCCTTTTAATTATCATTAAGGCTTAATTTTATTTTTTTTAAAGATTTATTTATTTATGCATACAAGAGCTGGGGTTCAGGCTAGAGATGCAGGGGGTGAGAGGATTCACCACAGACAGTATGGGGAACAGAACAGGCAGAATGACTGAAATACGGTGCTGAGGGGAGTAGCGGGCAAGACAGGAGAGGTCTGCTGCGCCATGTGGGTTGCTCCCTGGCTGGCCGGGGATCGGACTCGTGCTGCAGAGGCTGCGGATTGCTTCATAGTGCCGCGCTTAACTCCTTGTGCCACCAGGGAAGCCCAAGGCTTAATTTTAAAGGATGGTATTTTGTAGTTCAGTAGCTCATACTGACACTTGCGTGCTTTTGATACTTAAAGTTGAATAATTGGAAATGGTCCTCTTATGTACATTGGATAAAGGCCTATGATTTTCTCAACTCCCTCTACCTTTGTTTTATGTTAACTGCAACTGTATTTTCCTCTTTTTTTGAAATGTGGGTTACATAACTTACTACATAATAATTTGCTAGGTAGGCAAAGATGACAGGTATCAAGATATTCAGAAGGAGTATTACATTTTCACAATTAGTGTTGAAAATACATCACAGCATCTGTTTTACAAAACCTTTAAAATTGCTCATTGCCTTTGTTCTGCAGCCAGTGGTTACATGAAAATAGTGTTGGCAGAATTCAGACTTTCTTTTCTCGAAGTTTATATTTGTACTCAGTTCCATTCTGATTTTTGTTTTTGGAACTCTGATCTGTAATCTCTGATTTTAGTTTTTGAAACAAGAGATTTCTGTGTTGAGGTTATGTTTGTGTTTTTTAACTGTGTTTTTGCCAGTGTTAACTGGTTTAACAATTGTTGAACACATACCTACTATGTGCTAGGCAATTTGACAGTCTCTAGAAATATAAAGATGAATGAAACAGTCCCTGACCTCAAGTAGTTTATAATTCTTTCAACATCATGTATTGCTTATTTATTTTGAGCTGTAGCTTGATGTGAAAATATCCTAATTCATGCTCATTTTCCTGAATTTACCAATCAGTAGAACATGATCATATAGAAGAAAATATGTAAAAAATATAGACATATAGTTTTTAAGTTAGAAGTGATTTGAGTTAACATTCATGGAATGAACTGAGATTTTTAAAAATCTCAAATTCTTTGTCAAAAAAGACAGAGGGAAGAGGAAAAGACTCATCTTTGTGGGAGGAATAGGATGCATAAAGAAATGGAGCCGGGGTCTGTTCCACTGTGCTCAGCATATCAGGGAGATTAACTTGTCTTCAACTTGTATTTATAGTAGCCCATTAGAAGTAACTTTTCTTTCCCAGTAAAATACTTTGTAATTGTTTTTCCCCTGCTTTCAAAACTAATTAATGTTTTATTTTTGATTTTCTGATTTTAGATAGAAGAACTCCGTACACAACTTATGAAAGCAGGAGATCGTAAAGGTTTACAACAACAGCAAGGATCTCAGATTTCCAAACAACAGTCGAGCCATCAGGATGAACAGGGAGATGATTGGAGGCTTAGGAGAGGTATAATTCTGATTTTTAAGTGTGTGGGTTTTTAAAAAAAAATCTTCATGAACTATTTCTCATTTTTAGAATTGCTTTTCTTATGATATATTCTTGTCATCTTATGTATTTCTTCATGTACTACAAGGTTTTCCAATAGGTTGATCATAATTTAGTATCCAACTTTTAAATATAGTCTTTATTTTTTAGTTTTATGTTTATAGTAATATTGAGCACAAGGTACAGGCATTTCCCATATGCCCCCTGCTTGATAGAGTAGTATATTTGTTGCAAGCAATGAGCTTATATTTTACTTTAGGGTCACTCTTGATATAGTGTATTCTGTGATATTGGACTTATATAGTGTCATGTATCCTCTGTTACAGTAGCATAGCCTAGTTTCACTGCTCTAAAAGTCCTTTATACTATACCTATGTATCCTTCACATCCAGCCCTGGCAGCCACTGATCTTTTTATGGTCTTGATAGTTTTGCCTTTTCTAGAACCTTTTATAATTGAGATCTTATGTGTATCCTTTTCATACCAACTTTTTTCATGTAGAAATATCCTTTAAGTTTTCTTCATGACTTTTCATGGGTATAGTAGCTTTTTTTTTTTTTTTTAAAGCAAAGTCTGGATGTATCACAGTTTATTTGTCCATTCACCTACTGAAGACTATCTTGGTTGCTTCCAAGTTTTGGCAATTATGAATAATACTGCTGTTATCTAAACAACTGTGTAGACTTCTGTGTAGACATAAGTTTTTACCTTCTTTGGGTAAACACCAAAGAGCATGAATGCTGGATCTTATGTTTAGTTTAATAAGAATCTTCCAAACTGTCTCCATAATGGATATATCATTTTGCATTCCATTAGCAGAGAATAAGAGTTCCTATCCTTGTCCTTGTTTTTGGTTAGTGTTCTGAATTTTGGCCTTTCTAGTAGATGTATAATAGCATCTCCTTATCAGTTTTAATTTATATTTCCCTGATAAGATATGATGTGGAACATTTTTTCATAGGTGTATTTGTATACAAATATTTGTATACATATCTTCTTTGGTGAGATGTTAAGGTTTTTGGCCCATTTTATAGTGGGATTGTTTGTTTTCATATTGTTGACTTTTGAGAGTTCTTGTGTATTTTGAATAATAGTTCTTTATCAGATAATGTCTTTGCAAATAATTTCTCACAGTCTGTGCTTTGTCTTTCCATTTTCTTGGCAACGTCTTTGGCAGAGTCAAAGTTTTTAATTTAAAGAAGGCCACTTTATTAGTTCTTTCATGAATTGTGTCATATCTAAAATGTCATCACAAAACCTAGGTCACCCAGCTTTTCTTCTGTTTGATCATCTAAGAGCTTTATAGTTTTGCATTAGATCTGTGATCCATTTTGAATTAACTTTTGTGAAGGATGTAGATTAATATTTTTTTTTGTGTGTGGGTATCCAGTTGTTTGAGTGCTCTTTGTAGAAAAGACTTACCCCATTATATTACATCATCTTCTTTGTCAAAGATAACTTGACTGTTTTTATGTGGTCAACTTCTGTGCTCTCTATTCCACTACCTATTTGTCTATTTTTCACCAATATCACTTTTAAGTACTATAGCTTTATAATAAATCTTGTAGTTGGAGAGTGGCAGTCCTCAATATTGATCTTTCTCAAGATTGCTTGGCTATTCTGGATCTATCCATATAACTTAGATTCTGTTTATCCATACCCACAAAATAACTTACTGGGATTTTGATTTGTATTGCACTGAATCTGTAGATTAAGTTAGGAAGAACTTACATTTTGACAATATTGAGTCTTCCTATTGGTGAACATGGAATGTATCTCCATTTATTTGTTCATCTTTGATTTATTTTATTCAGGTTTTGTAGTTTTTCTCATATAGATTTTGTTAGATTTATACTCATGTATATCATTTTTGTGGATACTAACCAAAACAGCATTGTGTTTTTAATTTTAAATTTTACTTGTTTGTTGGTAATACTAACATCCAATTTTATGTTTTCTCTGCTTGAAGTTTAAACCTATTTTGGTTGTCAGACCTACTTTGGAGATTTTTCTTAGAAAGAGCCAGCAAAGCCAGTAGTGGAATTCTTTCCAGCTTTCTATTTCTATGCCAAAATACCTGTGTGTGCATTACATACCATCCTTGTATTTAAATTGGAAAATACCTATTTTTCACTTTTCCTTACCCCAGTTTTTTAATATGTGCAACCAATTAAAATTAAGATCCTATATTTATTTTGGTTAACTGAAGATTGGTGACAAAAATTGATCATATTGTAGGAAGTGTTCATGAAGCAAATCACTCTTATGTGGATTAGGAACACTTTCCATTTGATAAATGAGAAATGTTAGAATACATTCTCAGTGGAGGTATTGATTTAGGTTGTGGAATGTAATGACTATGGGTGTATTTTTTTTAAAGTTCAAATTTAACAGAAATGGTGATAATGAAGTTTTACAATAGTTTCTATTAGAGTAGTCCAGATTATTCAGCTTGTAAATTGTTTTGGTAATGAGACTACCTACTGAAATGCCTGAATTATTGGAGAAACTCCTGTTAGCATGTGATTTACTATCAATTCAGAGAAGGTAAATATTTCCTCACATTCCCTAATATAACTCAATATGTTGCCTATACTAGAATTTCCATATTGCCAGAAAATCTTCACTGTATGGAAGAGTCTGACATATGTACTCTAATATATTTGCATGCCGCTAAGTTCACATAAATTTCCTATCATGTTATAATTTATCTTTGACATTAGTGCAATCACATCTTAAAATTTATTTTTAAAAAATCTTAAGGTGTTAGATTGTTCATTAAAAGTACATAAAGGTGCACATAAGAACTTTCATTTTGTTTAGAAAAACATTTGTTATGTTTTATTGCCTCACAAAATCTAGTTGTTTTTGGTATAAGTCTGTGAGGACTAGCAGAATCTTATTTTTCTAAGTACTTACACTAAAAAAAGACCCTGAATGTTCTCAAATCAATGTGATAATGAACTTCACTTTCTTTGAGCCAGTAGTGGAATTCTTTCCAGCTTTATAAAATACTTGTGTTATTTAAAAAATATTACATAAGAAAACACTCATCATACTGTGCTGCAGCTTATTCCTTCATTGACTTTGCTTCATTCACTAATGTTGCTTCAATCAAATTATAAGGAGTCTTTCCATTACCTATCTTACTTGACCTCTCTTTATTCCTTCTTTCTTCTTGGAATGAAGAATTGCACTGACTTCAGTGCTTCTAAACTTTCCTCATTCTTCTGTTTTAATTCTTTTCATTGGACACTTTTCTCTTTGTTCACAGTTGTCTTTCAAATGCTAGTCACGTCTAGAATTCTGACCTTGGCGATTCTCACTTAATATTTCTCCTGGTGGTGTTTTTTAGTCACGTGCTTTAGCTGTCATCTATATGTGATGATCCCTAAACCTAGCTCTACTCTTTTAGCCTCAGTCTGCAGATGGATTTGCTCATTGGCTACTTCCATGTGTTGTTTCACAGCATGTTCAGTCAATAGCTTTATATCTGAATCCATTCTTTTCACAATGATACTTTCATTTATTTGATCTCAATTTTTGGCATCATCATTTAATAAAATGTCCATGCCTAAAATACAAACTAGTCTCTATATCCCTATACTTATATGCATCTAGGTGCACATATAGATTTTTAGAAAATATCTCTTGAATTTGCCTTGCCCTCTTTCTTCTTTTCACAACCCCAGTTTATGCATGCTTCATCTCATCTGTATTATCCTCTGGTCTTATTCTAGTCACTCTGTAATCTATCTTCCATACTGCTACTAAAGGGACTCTTCTAAGACAAATTGTTGATGTTACTCTCTTGATTAAAACTTCTCGCTATAAACTATTGAGTTTTTATTACACATAAGGCATTATGCTATTCTTTGTAAATTATCTCCTTTAGTTCTTAAAAATATTCAGTGAGAAGGGGGCTATTATTTCTATTTTAATGACTACAAAACACAAAGAGTAAAGAACAAAGAGATTGAGTATCTAGCCTGAGATCACTTAGGTGGTAAGTAGCAGATCCAAATTTTTTTCTTCCTAAATCAGAGTTTCCTTTTTTGTTTGTTTTTTAAGATTTACTTTTACTTATTTATGAATACAAAAACTGGGGTGTAGACCAGAGGTGTAGGGTGGCGGGGGGTGAGAGGAATCACCAGAGACAGAGTGGGGAGCAGAACAGGCAGATCTACTGAAATACACTCCTGGAGGAGCAGCAGGTGAGGTAGGAGAAGGTCTGCTGTGCCATGTGGGCTAGCTCCCTTCTGGGGATCAAACTCATGCCCCAGTGGCTGCTGATAGCTTGATAGCACTGAGACTGTAACCCCTGCTCCACCAGCGAGGCTCAGCTTGAGTTCTTAACTGTTATACCATAGACCTGTCACTGTAGCAAGGGTTCTTCAAGGTGGAGAGCTGAGACAATTCTTTGGTTGTGGAGAATTGTTGTAACATTATTTATATTTTATACTTTTTGTATTTTAATTTTGGTAAATGTTTTATTATTTATGTGCGTGTATTTATATGAATATCCCCATACTCATATTTCATATGTATCTATGGTATATGAAATATACCAAAATACTATATCCACACCAGGTATATTTCATAAAGGTCATATATATGCCCTTACATACACATTCATATGTATTAATATCTCCACGTTTTATATGATATAGTCATACTAATGTTGTTTTATATATGTTTATACTCTAAAGTTATATGTTACACGTATCATGAACCATGTAATGCATAATTTCAGGTTGGAGACCTTGGGATAGACAAAGTATGGCATATTGGCCAAATTCAGGCTGTCTCCTATTTTTGTAAATAAACTTATTTATAGAACAGCTACTCCATACATGTTTACACATTCTAGTTTGCTTGTGCAGTGCAAAGGCCGAGATGAATAGTTGAGATAGCGATCCTATAGCTAAAATATTTACTATCTGTCCCTTCATTGAAAATGTTTGCTAACTCCTGGCCTATGTGATAATTTCTAAATTATGTACTCCTTGCTGACTCTCATTCCTCTGCTGTGTGCTAGCTTTATAGAACTAATATGTGTATAATTATCTGAATATTAAATTTACCTTTGTACCCTTGTACTTTATACTGTTTCTTCTTCCCTGAAATATCACTCCTAACTGTATCTTGCTTTGCTTGGTGAACTCTTGTATCCATTCTTTGATTCTTAGTTTCCAATTTTTCCTTCCTCAGTTTCTATTTTTTATTTTTTATTTTTATTTTTTTATTTTTCCAAATTTTTTTTTTTTTAATAGAGGCATGTTTTATTTATTTATTTATTTGTTTGTTTGTTTGTTTATACATGCACTGGGTACAGTCAGAAGCGTGGGAGGGTGAGAGAATCCACCAGAGCCAGAGCGGGGAGCAGAGCAGGCAGAAGGGCCGAAGTACACTGCTGAGGGGAGCAGCGGGCGGCAGGAGAGGTCTGCGCGCCATGTGGGACCCTCCTCTGGTGGCTGGGGAGCAGCCGGGGATCGAACCGGCGCCACAGAAGCCGCGGGCAGCTTCGCAACCCAGCGCTCAACCGCTGCGCCACCGGGGAGGCCCCTTCCTCAGTTTCTTACCAAGACACTTTTGTACTATTTCTGTATAAGAACCATTATATAGTATAGTCTCTGTCAGTGTTTTTATGCACTATTAAAATGCCTATGTTTCTTTCATCCAGGATGTACAATTTTAAACACTTTAACTTTTCTAAGTTTGGGATATGTCTTACAAATGGTCTATAAATTTGATTTGTCAGTATTTTCTTTTTTCCTTTTCTGGAAAGGAAAATACTAGACAAACAGCAGTTTTAAATTGATAGTATATGTTTAAATTTTTGACATCTTAGACTCACAAAAGTAATTTATTTATATGACTTGTATTGTTTCTTGGCATGCAAGCTCACTGGAAAAGGGCTTTTGTGTTATTTTGAATAAGATGGCATTACAGGGCCTTGTGTATCACAGGCCAATAATTTTTTTTCCTCTTTAAATCTTTTTAAATTTTTATTTTATAGTTTAGTTGGGAGAGTGCTAGACCAAAGTATCTTTTAATGAAGTATCCTTGTTAATTTTGGACAGTATAGGATTTCTTCCCACAGTTGTGGTCACCATATCTCCCACCACCAAATTCCTCATAGTCCATTACTACCGTCTTTTGTGTTCTTTGCTCCATTTTCACACTTCCCAGTCTTACCTCCCCTCCACCCCTGAATGCCTCAGATACGGTTAGATTTCAAGTTTTATCTTTGTCTGACCCTTTGTCTGGTTTTTCTGTATTCTACCTATAAGGGAAACCATCTGGTATTTATCTTTCCCCTTCAGACTTATTTCATTTAGCTTTATCCCTTCCAGCTCCATCCATTTTGCCGCAAATGACATGGCTGTCTTTTTGGATAGCTCAGTAGTATTCCATTATGCATGTATACCACAGCTTCCTGATCCATTCAGCTGTTTTGGAGCATTTGGGTTGTTTTCCATATCCTGGTTATTGTAAGTAGTACTGCAGTAAACATAGTAGTATAGGTTTCCTTTAGAATTAGTTTTTTGATGTATTTGGGTAGGTTCCTAGGAATAGTAGTGCTTGGTCATATCCAATTTTATTGTTTTCAGGAACCTTCACACAACTTTTCATAGTGGCTGGACCAGTCTTCTTTCCCACCAACCATGTGAGAGGGCCTCTTTTCTCCATGCCCTCACCAGCATTTGTTGTTCCTGTTTTTTTTTTTTTTTTAAAGATTTATTTATTTATTTATACAAGCACTGGGTACAGTCAGAAGCACGGGAGGGTGAGAGAATTCACCAGAGCCAGAGCGGGAGCAGAGCAGGCAGAAGGACCGAAGTACACTGCTGAGGGGAGCAGCGGGCGGCAGGAGAGGTCTGCGCGCCATGTGGGACCCTCCTCCGGTGGCCGGGGAGCAGCTGGGGGTCGAACCAGCACCGCAACCCAGTGCTCAACCGCTGCACCACCGGGGAGGCCCTGTTGTTCCTGTTTTTATTTATTTATTTTTTTAATATGTGTCATTCTTGTAGGTGTGAGGTGGTGCCTCACACCTATAGTTTTGATTTGCATTCTCCTGATTATAAGTGAGGGTGAACATTTTTTCATTTGCCTGTTGGCCATTTGTATCTCTTATTTGGGGAAATGCCTATTTAGCTTTTCTGCCATTTTTTGATTGGGTTGTTTATTTTGTTTTTGTTGAGTTGTATGAGCTCTTTGTAGATAATTGATATCAGACCTTTGTCAGATGTATGGTATATGATAATATTTTCTCTCATTCAGTAGGGTATCTCTTTATTTTGGTTACTGTCATCTTTAGCATACAGAAACAGCCTTTTAGTTTGATGTAGTTCCACTTATATTCCCCTATCTTTCTCTTGCTGTTGGAGATGATTTCAAAGACATTTCTGAAGTTTATGTCATGGAGTGTTGATTCTGGAACCACAAAAACCCCCAAATAACCAAAACTCTCCTTACTAAAAAGGGGGGAAATGGGAATACTGTACTTCTGACTCAAACTATAATATAAAGACATAATAATTAAAACAGCATGATATGGAACAAAATCAGGCACATGTAGCAGTGGAATAGAATTGAGAGCCCAGAAATAAAAGCACACATATGTGGTCAACTTATCTATGATGACCAAAGAGCAAAGAATATACTTTGGAACAAGGAAAGTCTCTTCAATAAATGGTGTTGGGAAGATTGGACTGCCCCATGCAAAAGAATGAAACTAGTGTACTACCTCACACTATACATGAAAATCAACTCAAAGTGGATACAAGAGCTGGATATAAGAACAAGACTTTCCTGTTGAATTAAAGACTGAGTCTAATTATATTCATCAGTGATATAATTTCGGTGATTGTCTCTGGAATGGGAAAGCCAGTGGGGGTACACCATGAGAGATTTAAACATCATTGTCTATGTATGTTGTAAGAAAAACATTTTGTTGTTGTGTGAACTTCAACAATTTCAGTTGGAATACCTTAGTTGAAATTTTTTTCAGTATTTTTGTTTCAAAGTTTGGAGGGAATGTAGGAATATAAAGTTAAAAAACATGTGTAGGATTTTCCTAAATGGTTCTAGAAATCAGAAACATTTTATGTTTTCATATCAAAATGGCATAGTTTTGGACGGCATTTAGAAAACTGTGTGAGACTTGAAACAATAGACTGATAAATTCAGAATTTTTTTTTTTGTGTCTTTGTTGGTGTTAATAAGTTAGTTATGTTAGCTAGAATATTAAAACACCAAGGCTTTGTACCATTTGAAAGCCCATGACCTGTGAATAAAAAGCAACAATCAAGCTTTACATTTTCTCTTTTAAGGGATTGAGCAGGACAAAGAGGATCTGGAGAGGCAGATGTCAGATTTGAGAGTGCAGCTGAACTTCAATGCGATGGCATCTGAGTTAGAGGAAGTGAAGCGGTGCATGGAGCGAAAAGACAAGGAGAAAGCACATTTGGCAGCACAAATAGAGGTGACTTTGCTGTTTTTAAGCCATATTCAAAGAACTTCAGCTTTGTTTCATAAAATTGCTTAATGAAATTGTAATATAAAGATTGTGGTATTTTATGAGCTCAGTTTGGCTGTATATAATGTGAAGTTATCTCTATATATAGAAATTTTATGGATTCATTTCTCTTTCATTTGTACCTCAAAGCCAGGAACCTATTAAGCTTGAGAATATTCTTGTAATAGCAGTTGACCCCTTCTTAGAGACAGAAAGGATTTTTCTTCTTTGAAGGAACAGTGAGTTACTTATTTTGGGGGTAAAACTGTGGAAGACATAGTAAAATGATATTACTGATATTTCTTCTTTGGAACCATAAGGTTTTAAAATCTTGAGCTGTTCTGCATGAGGTAGAGTATGATGCCTCCAGCACATTAATTTACAATTGTATAGTAATCATGAATGACGTGGTAATCATGAATGAAGTGTAACTAGGCAGCTGCCCTTTCCTGCTTACCTTTTATCTAGCACAGATGGGGTAATTATCAGAAAATATTAAAAATCAAAGGAAAGAACTTCATAAAAAGGAAATGGTTTGATTCCAATTATAATTATGCAAATTAGATCAAGCAGGAATAACACATTTGGAAATAGATATGTATCAGCCCTCCTCTGTATCTGTTTTTATTAGTGAAGTTGTGTTTTAATTGTGATAAGTTGTCACATTTGAAGAGTTTGCTAAATTATAATGAAAGGTAGAAAATTGGCATTTAAAGTAGCTAAAATTGTATAATCCAAAGGAAATATTTAATTTTATTCCAGTCTGATCTTCTCTTTTATCTTGTCAGCATGTCAATAGAAAATCTATTTTAGATATAGTTTAGGTTTCAGATTGTAAGGATGATGAAATATTGACTGACTCGTTACAGAGCCCTCTACTTATAAATACTTACGTTTAACCAATACTTATCAGAGCTATGGTAATTATAGGATTTTTAGTTTTATATACGTTATTTTAGCCCTTGATCCTGTTGACAGAAGTACTGAAGTATGATTATTTTACCAGTTAATTATTTATTAAAATATTTGCTAATTTATATTAAATGTAGAACAATTCCTTTGCTAGGCTGTTAACCACCACGTTTTGGTCTGTTCTCCTTTCCTCCAAAACCCCTTCCCTTCTTTCCTTCCTTCCTATTATTTCTTTCCATTTACCACTTGTGGATTAAAAAAAAAATCTCAAACATGTAGGTTTTTTTTTATTATAAATTTTATTTTTATATTCCCCATACAATTGCAACCCCCTTATTTTGACCCCAATTCCTCCCCTCCCCCCAGCCCCCATAGAGTGTCTCTGGTTCATAGTTGTTTGTTGATTTTGATTTTTACTTTCTTATAGTTATTCTTTTTCCTGGTCCCTTATTTAGGTTTTCTAGATTCCTGCTATGAGTGAGACCATCCGGTATTTTTCTTTTTCTTTCTGGCTTATTTCGCTGAGCATGATCCCTTCCAGCGCCATCCATGTTGCTGCAAATTGCATGTGTTTATCTTTTTTGAATGCTGAGTAATATTCCATGGTGTATATGTACCACATCTTCTTGATCCAGTCATCTATTTTTGGGCATTTGGGTTGTTTCTAAAGCTGAGCTATTGTAAACAGTGCTGCTATAAACATAGGGGTGCAGGTGCTCTTTGGAATTGATGTTTCTGTGTCCTTTGGGTAAATACCTAGGAGTGGAATTGCTGGATCATATGGAAGCTCTATGTTTAGTAGGTCCAGAAATCTCCACACAGCTCTCCATAGTGGTTGGACCAGTTTGCACTCCCACCAACAGTGCAGGAGAGTTCCTTTTTCTCCACAACCTCACCAACATTTGTTGTCGCTAGTTTTTTTAATATGTGCCATTCTCACTGGTGTGAGATGGTATCTCATGGTAGTTTTGATTTGCATTTCCCTGATTACAAGTGATGTTGAACATTTTTTCATATGCCTGTTGGCCATTTGCATTTCCTCTTCAGAGAAGTTTCTTTTTAGCTTTTCTGTTCATTTTTTGACTGGATTATTTTCTTTGTTTTTGTTGAGTCTCATCAGCTGTTTATAGATTTTTGTGATCAGTCCTTTATCATTAGTGTTGTGTGCAAAAATGTTCTCCCAGTCGGTGGGGTTTCTCTTTATTTTTGTTATTGTCTCTTTTGCTGTGCAGAAGCTCTTTAATTTGATGTAGTCCCAGCTGTTGATCTTTGTCTTCACTATCACTGCTTTGGGTGATGTGTCTGTAAAGATGTCTTTGATGTGCATATCATGTAGTTTCAAACATGTAGGTTTTTAAAAAATGACTAATTAATGACCTAATAATGCTCTCATTCAAAGAACCTGGCTTTCCTGTCCATACCAAATAGTCTTGTATTTTCACAAGTGAAAAATTGGAATTCTTTTCAGTTAGTTTGTATTGGTTGTGTAGGTTTGAATTTAAAAGACAGTTGGAAACAAGAGTGAACATTCACTCATATATCAAATACTTAATGACTGTGTATTACATGCTAGGTACTGTTCTAGTGCCGGGCGACATAGCAATGGACAAATATCTATCATATTTCCTATGCAGGTGACATCCTGAAACTGATGCAGAAAGTTATTTGAATTTTGTCTCAATTCTAGGGTCAGATTTCATCCCTGGAAGAAATCACCATTAACCACTTGTATTTTAATCTGATTTTCTTATTTTTAACAATAAAATAATTAATTTTATTATTTCAATATCTATCAATTGTTTTAGGTTTAGTTACATTTCTGATTATGGCTTGTTTATTTTCATACCTTATATAAGCCCTTTGAATATATCTTTTTTCTGAAGTTATTCTCAGATTGACTTATAGTATAGACTGTGACAAATACAGGTCAAGGATCATCCAATTGTAACTCTAATAATTGGAAATTTTATTGAAATTTAATTAAAAAGCACTTAGCCTCTGGGTTGTTTTTTTGCTTTTAAGAAAAATTAGGAAGTATAGCTTGTTGACTTATGTATTCTCTAAAAAATGGAGATTAATCTATTAGTTACTTGTTAGATAGCAAGTGTAATAATAAAAATGCACAAAAGGAGGCTGGTTATTTGTCAGGTACAAGAGTATTTATATAATAACATTTATTATGGCTTTTTGTGCATTGTCTTCCTTTAACCTCAACTTTCTAACAACTCTCCAACAGAACATCATATACAGTCTTGTCAAATAAGTCATTTTTTTCTGAAACTTCTTTATTAATTTCCATCTTTTTTTGTGCTTGTTCCAGTTGTTCACTGTTTCTATAATATCTTCTTTTTGTAGAAATTCTAAACCTTTTCTTCTGTTAAACTTCTTGGATTGTATCACTTATAAGTGACAATCCTTTCTTCAGAATTACCCCTTTGTCCACAAATACAAAAGCTTCTCTCTCTCTCTCTTTCTTTTTTGTACTGAGGTAACATTGGTTCGCATCACTGTTTATGGTTTTGGGGGATAGGCTCATAGTCCTCAGGTGAATGCTACCTCTTATTGTACTTTTATCATACTGTCTTAAAGTAATATATATATTTGTCCTTAAAGTATATGTAAAATTCCTTAAAATTTCAAAGTCCATGACAATACAGAGAAAAGGTAATTACAGAAGAAAGCTAACTGTCACCAAGACAAATCTACCTTGATGATGACAGTATGTTTCAAGGTGTTGGCCTCACATCTGAAAACTTGAATTTTCTGTGTTCTGGAATTAATGTGGCCCAGGAGATGGTCCTTTTAGTAATGAAACTCATAAAAAACTGTATATGAAAGAGTGCTGGTTCATTGACTTACCCAGTTGTAGTCCTATATATTTAAACGTTTTTCTCCTATGCAGGGCATGAATCTCCAAGTTTCTGTACCTAGGTTCTAGAAAACTGAATTAGTAACAAAAAATTACCTGGTAAACTTAATCAGAAAATAATATTTAAAGAATTGTTTGTTAATGGCTATGGTGAGGCTTCTCTACTGATTTTTCTTTCTGGACATCTTTGTCTTCCTGACACTCTTCTGATTTGCTTCTACTGATCATCAGACTTCAGTTTACATTTTCTTTTTTTCTTTGAAGATTTATTTTTATTTATTTATACATACAAGAGCTGGAGTGTAAGCCATAGTGTGGGGGACGGGGTAAGAGGATTCACCAGAGACAGAATGGGGAGTAGAGCAGGCAGATCTACTGAAATACACTGCTGAGGCGAGCAATGGGTGAAACAGGAGAGGTCTGCTGCCCCATGTGGGTCAGCTCCCTGGCTGGGGATGGAACTTATGCTTCAGGGGCTGCTGACAGCTTGATAGTGCTGAGACATAACCCCTTGTGTCACCAGGGAGGCCCTATTTTCTTTTGTTATGTTGCTGTGCACAGATTTGTTCTGGGCCATTTACCAATATATATTCAGGTTACAATGCAAACTTGTGATGTTCTGGGAATCACTTGGGAGTTAAAGTCTTGCCCCCTTGCATGTCAGAAATGAGTTTGAGTTCAAACTTTGTATCACTTGGTGCCCTCTTGGTGTACAACTCTGTTGTAGCCTTCACCTGTATGTTAAATATGTAATACTTGTTGATTGAAATAGTATATTGTAGAACACTTTTATTTTTTTTAAAGCTATTATCTATTGTCCAACCATTCCTTAAAAGCACATTAATTACTCAAAGAGCTGTCGATAGTCTAGAGATCTTTTGCTCTCTCTCACTAATTGCATTAATTTTGTTGATTCAGAATATGTATTTTAAGCAGTTGCTTTACACTGGGGTAAAACAGTGAAAATATCTTGTAAAAAAGCAAATGAAAACTACATTTAAGTTTGTATAATTTACCTTGCAAATTGTATTAAGACCTTAAATCTGTATATGCATAGAAAATACGAAGTGCATTTTTCTCTTCTTTTAAACTTGAGTTGAACCTCATTAACCTTGATAGGCTATTTGTATTCATAAGATTTCCAAGCATCCTTGATCAATGATTCTCCCTGATTTAATCTTAGCCT